CCACACAGTTCAGCAGCATTTTGAACCCAACGCAAATTGCTTGAGAAGTCTGTGTGACAGAAGAACTTCACAATGCATGGAAATGGAAAAAACCCTCAGATTGCTTAATTCAGATACAAGCCACACATAACAAAATTAAAGTTTCTAAGCACCTTTTCCTTCTAGATAATCGACAATAAAAACTAGAATTTAGTTAGACTAATGAAAGAAAAAATGCTGCATCTAAATTTTCTCTCACAAAGGTAGGGGTTAAGGAAATGCTAACGCTTTCTTCATTCATCATCAGATTATAAAGTGGGTCCTCAGACAAAGATTTTCTTTGAAGTACGTGGAGCTGGAAACACAAGAGACAGAGTATGCTCTCCTTTTACGTAAACACTAACTGGGCGTGATATCCAAGCTTGCTCTTTAAAACAGATTGTGTTTCTTCTGCCTACATTTCCTGACTTTGATGGACGCAGATTTTCATCGATACCCAGCATTTCATCTTCAAGTGCTAGCGTATCCTTTTCATATTTGCGAGAACTTGAACGTACAGAGGTTGCTGTCACAGCTAACATTAATGAACAGTTAACATATCACACAGCTTGCATTATAAGCCCAGTGAATCTCTGCATGCCAGTCCTGTGACGCTTGACACCCCAGCAGTGCAGAACTGGACCTGCATCAGACAGTACTTCCAAATCCACATTGGGTATAACGAAGATTGGCTCTGGCTGCAGCTCCAGCCACATGGCTGAGCCTAGAACAGTGCCCTGGAATGGCCGTGACCAGTCGTGACTTCCCACTGTCCCTACATCACCACAGGAGATGCTTAACAGTATACTCTTGGCTGAAATTAAGCAATAAGTGTGCTTAAAAATCATTACGTTTGCTGGACATGAGAGGCTGTTCCTTTGTTTGTTTAAGAATGACAAATTGTTTATTGGTGTCTCTAGTAAGTAATTTAAGAAATTTTGTAAGGACTTGGATTCTTTTCTTTTTATATTTACTTTTTATTGCCACAGATTTCAGTGAACTTCAAATCTATCAAAGTGGGTTTCCTTCTAATATCTGTGAATCTATCACAAAAAAAGATTCTCTGGTTTCAGTCTCAAGGCAATGATTTGGACAGTTATAGGTGTACTTTGTTTAGTGTCACCTATGGCGTAGATTGGATAGATTTTGTAAAAGATAGCATTACTTTTAAAGAAACATACAATTTGACAAGCTATTGCATTTTACTTTCATTTTATTGCTGTATTTTTCATCACACTCATTGTTTTCCAACTGTCACTAAATTGTTCATTTTCTTAGTCTGCTACATTTGTAGACCTATTTACTGTTTATAAAGCAATATGCACTTACAGGTTTTGGAGATGGCTTGGGCTCCGAGGGTCGCATGTGCAAGTGGGTCATCATTGCTTGAAGACGTTCGCGTTCTTTAGAAAGCTGTTAAAAAAGAGTGAGATCAGAAACATTTTAGAAATGACTGATACAGCTATTTTATTGCAGTGATACATCTTATCATTGAGCTTGTCTCAGTGTAATGATTCCTGCATATAAAAGGCTATGTCAGTAGAAACTTATCTGGGAGGAAATGCAACTTTGGGACTTGGAAAAAAAAAACAAAAAACCCACAACTTTTACAGCCTTTCATATGCTAAAAGGTCAGAGAAAACAAATAACACTTCATCTTTTTGTCAATAAGAGAATTGAGGTCACAGTAGCCTCGACAGTAACAAGTTAGTAAGACCATAAATTAGAAGGCCCATAGTGTCTCTTTAAAGTCCTGTGGACACTGTTAGCTATGGACTAGTGCCAGCAGCTGTGAAGGGGTGAAGGGTCCTCAAAGCACAGAGCCTGCCAGGATTGTCTCCACACTTCATCCTTTCCCACTGAGGTCCAGTTAGTGCCCCCTGCAATCTGCCATCATCAATCTAATTCAATAGAGTGACAGAGACCAGGCAGTGTGAAATGCTGAACTCTGCCACCGAGTCGGCATCTACACTGCGCTGAGTCTCATTACAACTGATGGACCCTACTTCTCTATCAGTCAGACAAAGCAAGAAATGGCATAATTGGTCACACTGCAAGCTAAATCTTCAGTTGTGCTGTTACGTTACAGAATACCCTTTCTAAATGGTAAACACTTCTTCAGGAGCCCTTATGCTGCCTTTAGAAGACATCACATTACTTAAACCTACACCTTTTCCTAACTGATTCTGTTTTCCTATGCTATACGAATGTTTGCACTTTCAGACTCCAATTATTTAATAAAAATAATAAAAAAGAAACAAGAAGAAGTGTTTATAATATGTTACTTGTTCTATCGGAACCTAAAAGAGGAAAATGTATTGTACAACATGAAAAGAATCATTTTTTTTCACATGAAGAGGAAATGCTCGAAGTTGTATTCTTGTGATGCTGGCTTTGGATATATGCGAACCGATTACAGCATTAACTTGAAACTTCAATCACTTGGCGCTTAGCACTGACTCTTTCCAGACTTCTATAATACTTTCTTGCACGATTTCAGCTCAAGAGGTACACCTATAGACTGAGATTGGATGAAGCAAACCAGCCTGCAAGTAATTCAAAACCATGGGAAGCTATCTGTATAACTGCAGATACTCTGGGTGTACAGGCTAAAATTTGGTCAGTGCAACTTTAATTAAAAGACTACTTGAGGCAGAGAGTGGGAAAAAGGTTTCTCCTTCAGCTTTATACTATGAGCGTGCTGTTTTAGAGATAGGCTATTTGCCATGATGTAAATTCATGACAGAAAAGTAAGTTAACGCTGTCCTGTAAATCTTATAAAAGAAACTATGGTTTTGCCTTGGTTTATAAAACTTCCACTTCAAGACAAATGACAATAAATGACATTGTTTCACTTTCCCCTCATTGCACTGGGTTTCCAGTATTAAAATACGAGAGAATGGAATTGTTGGCCTTGGCTGAAAGGAGAACAAGTATTCTTGCATGCACAAAAACAATGAGGCAACATACACTGTAAAGCAAGAAAGCCTCAAGGCACTTGTCTTTTTTTTCCCAGGTATTTCCACAAACTGGAAAAACGATCTCAGCTCTTCCCTGCAGTCCTTAGGCCCCCTTGAACTCTTCCAAGACAGGCTGGAATTCTGAGGAGTGCCCTCCTGCACAGAACCACACCATATGAGCATCCTGCATGGTCATTCTGGGGTGCCAAGCCTCAGCACCATGTAAGCGTTGTTTCAGTTACCAGGAGTAGTACTTATACAAGTACAAGGTACTTGGTGCTCCTTCAGAAAAACAGATGGAACATCACAAATATGCCGTGAGCTCTAACAGTTGAAGTTTGATCAGGTCACCTGAGTGCCACAGTTCCAGCCATGGAGCTGCTTGGGGACAAACCTCCCCAGAGAACTCCTTGAGTGGGTCTGACGTTACCATCTGCTTCCAGAAAAAACACCCTCCATTGGGCAGGGAGCTCTGCTGCTCCTCTGTCTGGCAGCACAGCACAGATGCGCACTGGGACCGAAGGGGCAGAAGGGGTCCTGAGCCAGCATTTCAAGGAGAGAAGAGAACTTGGATCCAGTCCCTGCTGCAGGGACAGTATTTTTCGTTCATGATGAATGGCATTAGGGTCTTAGTTCAAGCAAAATACTGTAGACAATGCTGATGTTAGATAATTATTGCATAATTTATAAGGTGAAAAAATCTTAAAGTAAAAAAACGCGCATTCATGAATATCCACAAATTTCATGCAAGAAACAAACAGCTTTAAGCCACAATTATTAAGGCAAATGTTTTCAAGTTAGTCTAGATTAATAGTAAATAAATAATAAATACACTCCTGTAACAAACCTGTATTTCTAACTGCTGAACCACTTGCATTTGCACCCGACACTGAGCAGTGCTTCTGTCATCCAACGCATGTTCATTGTTAAGGTGCCTAGGGAAGAAAGAGAACACTAATAAGACAGTGTTAAGATCAGGAAAATTTCTTTATGAGCCCATTTTTCTCTCCTGTGCATATGGCTTCCATTAGTTTCAATGGGAGTTATGCAAAAAGATCTAGTTAGAACATGCCTTAGATACAACAATACAAAGTACAAAACTGATTATTTCATTTATTTCATTATTTCATTGCACAAACTTTCTCCATGATGACTGCCAGATGCCCAGTTCCGATCTCCCAGATCACAGAAGCCATCTAAAAGCCGACATAACTGGTTGTCAGCATTTGGTTGTCACTGAGCTGTTCCTGGTGCAGAGAAACAGCCACCCTATAAATGATTCTTCAAAAGATATAATTGCTTTTAGGCTGCTTGAACTACCATGAATTAATGTAGAATTGTTTAGATTTCTCCATCTGATCTTCTTCAATCATTAAAGCATAAGCAACAACAGAACGTCCTCTCCCCTTCCCAGAACAGAGCCGGGAATGACAGAGACAACAGGGGAGCATCACTGACTTTCACTGCAGGTTCTGGAAGGAGCCTCTGAAGATCATGGCAGTTATCCACGATCTGAGGAATGGTGCGCAATGTAAAGGCATGTGAAGGAGCAACTACACACCCTACACACGTAGCAAGCTTCCTGGGGGAGATTCAGGCTACGCAATCGTGCCAGCTTAGCAAAAAAACCCCACATTGCAGCAGGGAAGGAGAACCACGGGGAGTGGGTACCTGTATATAAAGTACAGTCCACACCTGAATGACTGTCTCATAGGATTCCATGGGGTATATACTTCTTTACAGAGCTCATTCAGTCCTGGTTTTTTTTTTGGTTTTTTTTTTTGTTTTGTTTTGTTTTCTTTTTTTCCTAAAGGACAGTGATTTCTGTTTGTTCTCTTTCAGGATCAAAGAAACCCCTCATGGAGCTTTAACAGTGGGTTTGCTGTTCTCCTGTGAGAAAACTTAAGGATCAGGATTAAGGGAGCAAAGGAGTTTTACCTCTGAATGTGGATTTATTGGCTTCTTCAGTTTGCAAGAAGAGGTAAGTTCTGTGCATTCACCAATGGTTTTGCAGCTACAGGAACTATATGCTATTTGTACCACGAAGAAATACACATAAGTTGCTCCAAAAGTAATGCCTATTTATTTCCATGGAAACTACAACAGCTACAAGGAGCACAACAACACTACTTGATAGAACAAATTCTTGGCTACAAACCCTATTTTTGAACATAGCACCACTAGCTTTGCATCTTTGTCAGCAATGAACAAGAGCCTGCATTCCACGCTTGTAATAATCTGCACCAGCGCAATAACCTGCACCCAGTGTCACTGCTGCCTTAAGGAACTGAGGAATTCAATGAACACAACTTTGCTCTATATGCACTTCAATGTCAGACATCAATATGTCAGACTGCCCCTCTGCTGCCATCTGTCAGATGGCAACAACATGTAAGGGGATATTGGCAGGAAGGTTCAACCTCTACTGCCGTACCACCACCATCTGCATCTGATGTAGTGGGCAAACATAATATCATGGGAGGCATTATGTTCAGAGCCACCCTCAAGTTTCTCCTTTTTCCTTTTTTAGCAGAATTATTTACAGAAGTATTTAATTATTTAATTGTTGATCTATCTGAAGAATGTGTTTCTCAGAAAAAGTGAAAAAATAGGGCAGTCAGATATCTTACTTTTTTTTCTGTGATTTGTATCTTCAATTTAAATAATGACATCAGAGTTTAGGGCACAAGGATGGGGTCTGTGGGGGAGTCAAATGAGACAGTCAAGTTCTGTTGTCCATGCAAGAGGAACAGCTGGGGAAGATGCAAGTAATTAGGAAAGTTTTTGCTCATTCTTTTATTATAAAGTTGTTTACCAGTATGCTTGCTTGGCAGTTTATGTTAAAGCATCACCAATGACAATGCATCTCCACTGTGTGTGACATAAAACCTAAAGTTTTTTATTTTCAGTGAAACCCACCTCATTAACTTGTGCAAAACTGCACAATCTGTGCAAACAGCAGCTAACTGCTCAGAATGTACCTTTCACTTGTGTTCTGAATTTCTGACTCAAAATAATTTTACTCCCTCAGTTACACATGACAGTGTGTGGCGTACTAATACAATTGTTCACTGTTTTCAGTTAATTGGATACACGGTTGTTGGAAAGAGAACTGGAGACAGATTTTACCTATGTATCATCACCACTAGCAGCAGTGCACATCACCGTGTTTCCACATGTGTGTGCACAGAACTTGTGACAGTAAGTAATGGTGTAGGAGCTCCTGGCCAGAGTCTGAGGGTGTTGTCTTCTCATGATTATTTATTAGTTATTGCAACACCATATGTTTGCCTAACACCTTACAAAATAGACACAGACACAGTCCTTGCCCTGAGGAACTTTAAACTTTAAATATAACAGCAAGATGCAGTGAGGGAGAATAAAGTCTGGTGCAGGGTAATTTTGCTCTGATTACATGGTAGCTCAGCAGGCTGCAGTCTGTTCCTTGAGAGTTAACAGTCATCTTCAGAAAGTGGGAGAGATATGCACCCTTATGCCATACTTTCACATCATGTGGCTGCTTCTGCTGAGCATTTTGGAGAAAAGTTATTTTGTAGAAACATTAAGAGTGTAAAAATTGTTCTCAGTATTATTTTTCTCTGAGTTTTTTTTTGTTTGTTTGTTTGTTTGTTTGTGGGCTAGTGGGTTTATCTCATGCATGTACAGGCAATGCAGGGAAAGAAAACCAACTTCTAATGCATTTTTTAAAAACCTCTAAAATAACTTTTCTCTATATAAGGTTGCTGTAGTTTTAGGGCCCAGTATACTACGATCTGCCAAAATAGACACACATTCTTTCCTCCAGAAGGCTGGGAACCATTCCCAAGTGGTTTTTTTTTTTTTTGTTGTTGTTGTTGTTTCTTGATCTGACTTGTAAATTATGTGAAAGTTGTGCTGGTCAGCTTTCATACTTCATCAACAAATTCCCAATCGTCTATCTTGTCCGCATCCTTTACTAATCTCGTGTTAACTTGATTTACAATTGAGAAAAACACTGGTTATTTTTTTAAGGGGAGGAAACATTTTGGAGGACGGGAAAGTGTTCCTGAAGGGATGAGTTACTGGTTTGAAAATGTGAAGCAGGCTGTGCAACACATACAGAGCCTCTTCCATTATTTTGCTGCTTATTCGGTTGTTGAAAGAAACAGGATTTTCTCCTGATTATATTTGCAGTGTATTAGGAAGTAACAAGGCAAATTATGAACTACACAAAGCATTGTAAAGCAGACTGGAATTAATGTATTATTGACAAGAAACAGTGCAGCGTGTTTTAAAGGAGATAGGGATTTATATACCCTAGGAATGCCCTGGAATAAAACCCAAAGTTTTTACTACTTTTTTGCAAACAGATTCAGACTCTGCAAAGCAAAAGATAATACACCATTACACCATTAGAGAGAGAAGAGAGATAGTTTCAACAAAGATTCTAGTGGACATTTACCTGTATCAATTAACCTCTATACAACTCAGCACTCTTGTCAGTCCCTCTCCATAGCAGCCCAGGACTAAAATAGCAAAGTTCTATAGGTCAGCATGAGGTGCACAGGCAGAGTTACATGGAGCAACACACACAGAATCCATCTGTGCCTCGCTCAGTTCCAGCCAGAGCTATTAGAAGCCTGCCTTCAATAAGCACTAAAATTCAGTCACACGTTTTTAAAAGGAGAGAATATTTTTCTGGAAGTTGATTGTTTTCTGTTATAAAATTCAACCAAAAATTCTTTAAAAACGTTGGAAAAAAATCTTCACAGCTTCAAAGTGTCACTGCCAATTATGCCCTTTACTCTTTCTAATTACACTATTTAAATTCATTTTTTAAGAAATGTGACAGATTTACCTCTGAGAAATAAAAACAGTGCATTCACAGAAGTAAGTACCAGGGTAATAATTTTTATCCTGAAGAATTTATACCAATATTATTACCTTTACCTCTTAAAATGCAAGAGTAAAATGAAGCGTGTGGTCCCGTCAGTAGCTACCAGAGGTACAACACACATCCGTCTCCTATGTTTGTGCGTTCATGTGTCAACGCACTGAGAAATACTAAAGTGCAAGACAGTAAGGGAATTCACATGACAGTTTGGCACTTCTGATTGTCTTGCATTAGCTCACTTAGGTAAGAAAGGTTTTTATACTTGTTTACATTTTAGTGATACTCCATCACTGTATATTTAAAGAGCGAAAAAAGTGCAGAGTGTTTGCATTGATACGCTCAAGTCTTAGAAACCCATTCAATTTATCTATGCTGCTTTTATTAGACCAGAGACTGCAGACTACAATAATAGTCAATGAGGTTTTGTCTTGATTGAATTTTTCAGTGGAACACAAAAGAACCTTGCCATTAAAATAGTCCTTTATTCTCCTGTATGAAGGCGAAAGGTTTTTAAAGTGTTGTGATGTTCAGTAATGAGCCTCTATCTAAATTATCATTGGTGACAAACTCACAAAGCACTTTTCGAGGACACATAGTTATGAAATGCCAGAGCTGCCACTTTCTTTCCTGTAATTATAGGCTAGCTTGCAGCCCTTCAATGATCATTTATAGAACAGCCTCCAGTGGATTACTGAGAACTTGAAAAACACATACATACCTCTGCCACATCTCCCTTTCCTCGCTATTGTTTACCAGTGATATGTAAAATAGTAGTGCCTATTCATTCCCCCTACTTAATTATGCCAATCAAAGTACAGAAATAGTGTCAGATAAAAATACAACGCAACGTGACTAAATAAATAGGCTCGGTATTAACATTAAATTATGAATTTATGTACTTATGATTATTTTATACTCAAATTATTCTCTTTTATGCTTTTATAACTGTCTCAGGTACTACATATTGCTGTTAAAAATTCTCTATGATTTATAAATCAAGAATGAGATAATACTGAAAAATGAGAGGATTGGTGGATTTTCTCAGTCAGTGCCTAATTGCTGTTTCGAAATGCATATGCAAAAGGACATTTCATTAATCATTTAATCATGTCCCTCGCAGGAAGTTGGAACTAATGTTGCAAATACCCTTTTCATATGAATGCTTCATAATACTATCTTATGCATTTGATATATTGCATATGTCATAAACTGTAGCTGCTTCAAAAGGACCAAGTGGGTTGTTATCCCTGAAGATGCTTGTTACAAAACCTTTATTAAGTTTTTTTTTTTACTTATTGCTAGTTCTATTTCACAGCTCCATTCTAGTCACCAATAATGCTCTTTCTGATGGCAAAGGTCTGTAAATTACCCATGCAATCACTAACACCATTTCACAGACCTGTTCTACTTCTACTGGTCTGCTAACAAGGCGATTACACACAAATTACTGAATGCCTATGAAATATTTAAATGCATTCTACTCTACTATGCATTAATAAGAGCAAAGCAAGCTCTGGAATTCTGGTTAGCTCCAGTCCCTAATGTCCCCTAATGAGCCTCTTACTGTGACTGCAGTTCAAACAGAGAGGTGAAGAAAAAATGCAAAGGGTGCCTTCAGAAAGGCAGCACTGAACAAACATTGTGTGAGCCAGTTCTAATTTATGGGTCACTTTATAGGTATATTGATTTTTGTTTTCAAAATGGAATAAATGATGTGGTCGACTGACGTTCTTAAAAACTGCTTGGATCTGCGTGCTGGCTGTGTGACTTACACACACAGCAGAGTGTAAACATGCAGTCACCTCTCCAAAAACAGCTAAGTAAACATTGCAGAGTGACAAAAAGCGCAATAAGAGATCCTTTCAATTTGTTTGATGTGTATTTCTCCTTTCAAGTAGCTTTTACAGATATAAACTCGCTTGTTACCTCGCAGTGCATATATTACAAATTATCGATTCAATTTTAACTACAAGAATTTCAAATTCATTTTTAGTTACAACGTTTCAAAAGCTAAAGAGAGATCAGCTTTAAATCCGAGTGTGTCAGGGATTGTTTCAACAAAATGTTTCACTTGCGTATCAGTGGTGTTTGATTTATTTTGCATCAAGCTTTTTATGTTTAAACATTGACAGGAGTTTAAATACAAAATGTTAGCTGTCACTATTCATTTGGCTGATTATGTCAGATGCCTTAGTTTGGAGAGATGGTGGCACTGTCACCAAACGAAACAACATTCTGACAAGTTCAAAGAAGATTCTTGAGGTCATAATTTTATAGCCACACTATGTAGTTGAAGACAAAAAATAAATGAACAACACTCTAACAAAGAGAGAACATGACACTGTGTATCATTTGGTAGATAAAAGATGAAAAAACACAGCGAGTTTAATATGGCATTACTTGTAATTCATTAAGTAAGTTTCTTCTTTTTACAATTTTGTTTTGTCATCCTACTTCCAATGCTTGGTCACTGCTCTTTGTAGATCTTTAAATGCACTCTCTTGCCTCAACAGCAAACACTATCTGTTGGAAAGCTGGCCTACCTTCTCTAGCATGATTTTTCTTCCCTGTCTCTATGGATGAGAACATTACCCATCTTCATGCTGTGGACTGTGCTATATTTGCAGGCATTGGCTGCATGAAGGTTAAAGAACACTTCTCTGCTGGCTGGACTGCTCTATTGTAATCTTTTGATTTAAGATCTACAAGTTGAATCCTTCCTACTCAAACCGCCTTAGGACCAACAGAATGATAATTAATTTTGCAGACAAAATACACTCGAGTTTTGTCATGTATTATTGCACTCTGACATTTGTAAAAGCAGTGTGAAGAACTGCTATTAAATGCTTTTAGTGATCTACTGGGTTCCTCACTTGGAGACCAGCTTCTGTCAACATCTGTTTTACAGTACAATTATAAATTTTTGGAAGAATTTTTGGCACCCTTCTAATTGCTTCATTATCTAGCATTTTGTTAAACTCTTGTCAGCTTCCTTTTAGTCATGTCATTACTTTCTCTTAAGTGTCTTTTCATTTTTAAGTTTTTCTTAAGCCGAAAGCTGTTTTTTTTTTACCAAAAAAAAAAAAAAAAAAAAAAGACAAAATGAATCTTGCATGCACAAACAACTGTAATCTAACACCCTTTTTGTCAAGAGAGAAAACTGCTCCATAAAATATAAACCGTATTTTTGCCTTTAGAGTTGAAGTATTTCCAAGAAAAGACACAGGATTAAGTATTCCTGTATGTACAGAAATATAAAGATCAGCTGCATTTTCTTGAAACCAATGCTTATATTTTGAAACACAAATCTATTCCACAGCAAACATATAACTGCTTCAACTATTCTGAATATTTCAAAATAATTCTGGATAACTGCTGTGTCCTCTGGTTGTCTTATAAATATAAACAAGTTCATAGTGGACAAACAAAAGAGAAAGTGAAAATGACTTTAATGACTTTAAGTCATATATTGTAAGTTAATAATCACTTCACACATATTCTTTTCTATCATTATATACATGAAGCAAAGCTAGTGTCTTCTCTCTAATCTTCCTTCTCAGATGCACAATATTTTATGTTTTTGAAGCAAGCTGCTAGGTAAACCATTTTCTCAGCATGGGACTTTAAGAGTTCGCTTAATAAACCAGGTACTCGTCAAAGCTGTCATAAGCATACTCTAGAAATACACACTACTAGACGGGAGTAGTGTACCTTATTAATATTTCATTTTGGTACAATATACTTGCATTAACTTTTTTAACACAGGTATCATATTGTTTCAAGTCAGAAAACCTAAAACATCGTAAGAGAGATTAGTCTAAGAGCAAAGCCTTGAAAACTACAGCCATTAGTCCTGTCATCCCCTATAAAGTTAATGGTTTGGAAAAACGGTCAATCTTTGGACTAAAAGTTGATATTTAATTGAAAGAAAATGTTTTTTAATTGTGATGGGGATTTTGCATTAGTGTGGACATGAAAAGGGACTAAGGAATCTAAGGCAAGGTCCTATCTATTGATTTCCATCTTGACGCTAGTGTAAAATGAAGAAACACTTCCATTTCACAAACAACCTCGTCCATTCAACATCATGACTTCTTATTTGTTTTAAGGGCACAGAAGACATAATGAATAAAAAAAAGAAATAATGGAATATTCTCAAATATTTTTTGTTGCTGGCATATAGGACAAAAGCCATGACACTGCTGCAAACCCTGATTGACTCTACACCAGAATTAGCAAGATGTTATATGTGGCTTTCACATTTTCCAGGGTTATTTGGTTCAGGAAAGCAAGAGCATCTGTAAACCTAGCCCTACACCACATTAATCAAAATGGTTTTAGTGATCATGGATTATAACAAGAGACCTGACATAATGGATTTGTAAAGTCTGGCCATAGAATTAGCATTGCTGCAGCCTAGTGACTATAGACACATTTATAAAATTTAGCTTTTTCTTGAAAAGGAGCACGCTTGAATTAAACTAATTTAAATTCTTAGTATTAATAATACTTAGACTGATTCATTGCATTTGGGAGATTTCCTTTTCCTTTTAATACAAGGGTTCTTTTTAACATCAGGTTCTTTTAAGTCCTATACAGTTTTCTCTTATAATTAGCCATTATTTTGACATTCCATTTAATGCACTTACAAACAAAAAAATACCAAATGAGAGAAATATACTAGCTAAGATTTGCAAGTCGCTGTAAATCATTTCATTTAAAATTGAAAGATAGCATGAGAAAGCATTTAAAGTACCTTGTGAAAAGTATTTAAAATACTTTATGAAAAGTATTTCTCTAATTCTATTACAAAAGTTATTGTGAAACTGAGTGCTTGTGGTCTGCTGTTAAGGTGTTTCTGTTACATACCCTGTAGTCTACCATTTGTAAACACATCTTTTTGATGTTTCTGCCAACATCCTGGCAACAAAGCAGTGCAATTTCAAATGAGCTAATTAACTTAATTGTTGATGAAGCATGAAACAGTTCATTCACCCTGTTAGCTGCACCATGACAACATAAGAGTCTCAGCCCCTGAAGTTACTCATCTATATAAGCCTATCTGTAGCTTTCCATTAAGATCTATTGCATGCCAAAACAAGTATAGCTCTTCTGACAAAACCAGACCATAATGTACTCAGGTAGAAAATCAGTGCAGTTGTTGAAAATTTAAATGAATTCAACAGTACAAACAACTGCTTTTGGAGAAAAAAATAGAAAAGGAAAAAAAAATGCCAAAACCCATCATAGTTTGATGAAAAACTTTGTAACTCATTTTCTCGATGATCTGATTAAGACAATTGATGGCAAACCCAAATACTGAAAGCAAAAACTTTTCACATCACTGCAGTTCTGGAAGGTGAAAAACCCACTTATTCACAGCAGTTGTTTTTTGTGAGCACCTCGTACACATACAAGAGTAAAAGCAAAAAACAAATTATAAAAAGAGAGTCAAATGGACACAGTCCCTTGTGGTTTTTTTTAATATACTAAATACATTAATTCCCACTTTGTCAGAGCTTAAAACATGGTTTCTCATACTTTCTCATACCTCTGTTATCCAGTATATCACCTAAAGCATCAGTTCAAATTTTCTGAGGCTTCATTTCAGTAAAGGATAGTAAGAGGATTAAGCAGTTCGCTATTGAAAGGATGGCAAAAGTGTTCAACATGAAAGAGGATAACAATTTGACCCTCTGCAGACATTCTCAGTCATCCAGTTGCTTGGAATACACACAAATAAGAAAACCCTGTTATTATTTACAGTAAAACTTTGCTTGCCATCTTTCTCCTTCCCTTGCCTTAAGCAACCCTCTACCCATGAATAAAAATCAACCTACTTTAAAAATTGTCCAAAATCTTCACAAACGCTTTCACAGCCAGGCCATTTGCAAACTCCATGACCATAGAGAGTATGGGAGGCCCCAGTCTCCTCATGTGACGAGCTGCAGCAAAAGAATAAGGCATCAGATTCATCTCAAAAGCCATAATCGTTGGAGGCTGCTAGCGCCTGTCAGGTTACGATCAGTGACAAACAGGTCAAAACAGGTCAATTTAGCTCAGAGCAGTCAGAAAAATTTAATCGTTCTATTGAATAGTTCAACTGCCAAGGCTAGATGATGTTCCAATTAGAGAAGAAATAGAGCCAAAGATGACTGTTAATAAAGGATGAAAAAATAAGATGACTGTGTAACGCCATATGCTAATTCTGCCATATGACCTTGGCGTAACATTTACCTATAAATAAAAAATATACTATTCAGAAGCGATCAATTCTGAAGAGAAATACTGAAGATGGACAGTCAGAATTCGTACGAATGTTAGTACAAAATATTTAAATTTTCTGCCGAAATGTAAATAAAATAAAATAAATATATTTAATAAATATTGTTGTTCACTTTGGGTTTTTTTTGCCATTAACTACTTAATATACAATCTGCTGTTCTCCATGCCATTTTTAGAACCCCTGCAAGAGTTTCACTTATATGCAAATCAAATTCAATATCAAAACAATTCAAGGGACTGCTGCATGGATATGGGCAACTACATGTTGAAAAGGAAAGAAACAGCTTCTCTGAGACAGTCACAAAAGTAATTCTAACTAAAAGTACTACTCCAAAGGTCTATCAGAGAAGAACCATTTTTTAAATGAAACAAAATGTCAACTAAAAACTATAGTCACAGTCACAGTATGACCTGTGATTAATTATTGTCTCCTAATTCAATATAAAAATATAAAATGCTAATTAATTAAAATAAAATGGATATACATTTTTTGAAAATGCAATAATTTACTATTTAATTTATGTGGACAAAAATTTCTATGAAAACAGCAGTGTGATTCAACAGTAGAGGCCTGACTGCCAAATGTGTTGACTCAGTTATGAAAGAAGCTACGTAGCCACAGAAGTGCCCACAAGCAAACTGTTCTGAGTTGATTGTATCATAAGTTCATGCGTAGCAAGACTTACAATAATTGCACTTGCACCTGCAAAATTAGACATCATGCCTGAAAGTGGCAGTCAATTGATAAACAGTTTTGAAAAATCTGTTCTCCATGATACCTTAAGAACTTACATTAAATATTATTTTGAGAGTTGAAATAATGTGACTTCAGATGCTAAACAACAGTGTTACATCAAATGATAAGTACAATTGAAATCTCATATCAGAATTACCTGTCTCGCCTTGCATTTAGAACTGAAGACTGTCCATTCACTATGGAATGATGAGTTATTGGTGGTGATGCTTTGGAAGTGGTGGAGGAGGTAGTAGAGGAGGAATTGTTAGTAGTGAGGTCTAGCCCTCCATGTTTAATGCCATTGTCTTCCATACTGTGAACTCCAGTCACTTCTTTCCATAACTGCTGAATCTCAGCAGGACTTAAGCCAGCTATAAAACGAAAGAGAGCCCCACTAATACAACAAAATAAGAGTTTCATATTATGAGCTCAGTGTTATTAATGGATTAATGCCAACAATAAAGCTGATGTAGTTTTTCCAGCACAATCAACGTGTAGTAAAACATAAATTCATTTTTCTTCAGCTAGAATCCAGGTAATCCAGCTGTCTTCTCTTGGATTATAAACACTCAATCAGAAATCAGCAATTTGAATAACATCATGCTCCTTCTAGAAACACTACACAAGGATCCAAGAACAAAAGCTACAAAGAACTTGCAACCACTTCTTGAAAAACTAAAAAAGCTGAAACAACTGAATACACGTGCAGATTAGATTTTTGTTGTCTACATAATACATTTCTTGACAGGAAAACATAATTTATCCACAGTTATCTCAACTTTCAGAATTTCTCTTATTCAAAACAGAAAAGTTTATTATATTAAGGATAGAAACATTAATATTTTCTTTAAACTTTTAAGTAGGGAGTGGAAGAAGCAGACAACAAATCATCAGACAAAAATGAAATCTATGAGTTCTTAACACGTTTAACATTTGCGCAGAAGACATTTTAATTAATGACACCTATATATTCATTCAATTCTGTGCAGGATATTTAAAAAAAGTTCTGATGTAAAAATGTGTCTTAAGAGACAATAAACAAAATTCAGAACAAAACCACTACAGCATAGAACCACATACTGGTAACTGGTTCAGCTCTTTGGAGCCATTCAGTGGCAACAAACAAGCAGAAAGGTAACAAAATTGGGACATTCAGAATTCCCCATACATAGATTAAATTACACACAACGTGGACTATTGAATTCCTCCACTATTTTTTGTCCATCCCTGGCATGAAAAACAAGTCAGAGGCTTGGCTAGGAGACAGCAGACTCCATCTCCTGGGGTCATGACTAGCCATAAAATATTTGAAGAGCTTCTCAAACTCGTCTGCCTGATGCACAGTACTGTCTTGGAATCTGGCCACAAGATCATTGCAGATACAGATCAAATTTGCTCTGTACTCTACTTGTAGTCTGAAAACTAGTGGTTTCCAGGACTCATCCACAGCCACAGATTGCAATGGTTTGTAATTGAATTTACACATCTGTGTTAGGGTTGTCTGCAATGAACTGAGATCTTTGCACGAAGTCGTGGAAACTTACATTAAAAAATGTTTCTGCCCAACGACTCACAAAACAAAGGAGAAGAGCTGGGAGTGTTCTCTTACCCTCTCCATATTACATGAGTATTATGCATCTAATGCAGGAAATTAAGATACTGAAAGATGAAGAGTTCATCATAACTATACACATATTCTGTCACAGCCAGACTTTATAAAGTAACACCTCTCTTTTGAAGAATACTAAATTAAATGTAGAAGACCATACAAATTTTGTGAAAGATCTGACTTCCCACTGGTTTCTGAGCCTGGCACAGCTAATCTTTTGCATCTTTTCTTAGCAAGTGAAAGTATGTAGGTTGCTCCAAAAGTAATGCCTCCTATTTATTTCCATTGAAGGTACTAGAGATACAAACAACACGGTAACACTACTTGATAAAGAAAATTCCCAGCTACAGAACATAATTTTTCAACACATTCATCATCATTAGCTATGCATTTTTGCCAGCAGTTGACAAGAGCTTGCAGGCTATGCTCATCAAAATCTACACCAGTGGAGGTGACCCACTGTCTCTGTCACCACTCTGACCACCCACTGCCTCACTTTGCTCACATCCACTGGTTGATCTCACCAAACATTCAGAAATACTGATAAATGTCAGTGGGTGCAATTTTTCCTCAGGGAGGATTTTAATGGTGCAAATTTGCTTCATAGGCATTTCCATATCAGACACCATTTGTCAAACCTCCCCTCTGCTACCATCTGTCACACAGCAACAAAATGGAACTGCATATTGGTGGCAAGGTTCAGCCTATACTGGCATATCACCAACATCCACGTCTGATACTGTGGGCCAACATAAAAAAAATAAGAAGCATTACTTTGGGAGCATCCCTCGTAGATGGGACACTGTCACAGTACCTTCAACTGCTTGAATGCAAAGCATTCCAAACACCGAAGTTCTCTGAACTGAATTTTTGTCCCAACCTTCTGAATTAGCTGAAGTTTACTGGTCTTCAGAAAAGTATTAAAAATTTAAAATTCATTCAAACTTTTAACCAAGGATAATTTTCTTTGGTAAGTAAGATGCATCATAAAGACGTAAGGATCTTTCTTCATTCACTGTTTAGAAAATCTGTTTCTTAGATAACTTTTGATTTTGAAGGTATAAGAACTCACACTGCTAGAATGGATTCAATGAGAAATATGAAAAATGACAGTAAGTTCCTTAATACTGCTCAATAACTGTCTCGCCATGAAGTATGCAAAGCTATTAAAGAAGAGACTGCAAGTAATTTACAGAAATAATAATTTCTGGAGGTAGTGTGGAAACAAATTGGTTGGAAGATATTCATTTTTATTTAAATTACAGAAGGAGCTCATTTTTAGACTACTCTTTAGTGTTCTTCTTCTCTGTCTTAGATACCAACACTCATTGACAAACTCTGTTAATGACAAAGTGAAAAAGCTGACTGAAATGTAAGTCTTAAAAATGGAGTTTAAATCATATTTGTACAGCCAAAAAGCTAGGCTTTACGGAAGAAAAAAGGTAGGCTCGAACTTACTGCATTAGAGAGATAGGTAACTGGAGCAATAGTAATACTAGCTGTAATTGTTTAATGAAGTTAAGTAATTACTGCTGTGTACATGAGGTACGTCCCAGCAACATTGCAAATAACCCATTTTAGCATGGTAAGTAACAGTTACTTGCAAATATAATAACAAACTAAAAGGAAAAGTAACCTATTCATTTAGGTGGCATGATATACATAGGACATTATTCTCTACAAACTCTCTCCTTCTTCCTGCAACTGAAAAAAATAAACTAAGTTTATACTTAAATTAAAACAAAGAATAAAATCCTCCGTTTGAATAATCAAAGGGAAAACATATTGTTGTGATTTATGGTAAGAAAATTTTCATACACGTGTATCACCAAACTTTGGGCCCTGCAGGAGCTCAATAAGAGGCAGTCTGAGAACGTGGGTGAATTCACCCAGTGGGAGGTGACTGCCATAATGGCCCTTCCCATGTAGTGTCATCTCCTCCTCCTCTTCTTTCTCTTCCAAGTGTCTGGGAACCCATCTCTCCACAGTGTAAAGCTACAGATGATTTTTAAAATCAGAGACGAATTTCTCTTTAGGCTCAGGCTGATTAATTTTATCACTTATTTTGAACACCTTGAAAGTCAGCTGCCCTTTAGGATAAAAGGATCAAGGGTCAGCACTTCAAAAGTATCAAATTGAGAAGGGAATATATAATTAATTGTAAATTACAACCATTTTGTAGTTTTGGCATCTAGAAGAGGCTAACTTCCATTTTACAAGAGACCTGTAAAATGGCTGACAGGTATTTTAGTCTGGATGTAAAAACAAGGTAAGTTTTAAAGTTTCACAGATTGTGATAATTCTCAAAATACCCTCTCCACACTAAATTAAAAGAGAAAGGATGAAACATGATACCCAGGATGGGATAAAAAAGAAGAACTATGGTGAAAAGAACCAATACTAATTCACTCTACAGTATTTTAACAGCAGCAACTCCTGAATTTTGAGAGTAGTTTTCTAACTCTTCCAACTACTATCTACCCTACTTATATGTTTGAATAAATAGTAAAATGAACACTTATAAAACTCAACCATGAACTTGTTTTTCATTTTCCTACCTAGTCTGACAAAATTCAAGCTTTTATTTTTAATTATTGTCATTTATATACCTTTGCACTTAGGTAAACATTAGCATAGCATTACACAGAAGTAACTTACTGTGAGCCACTGGATATAGGCTAGTGAAGATCTCACTCAAAATAAATGCTCAAACAAATCCTACATCTTATTTGCTGTACCTAATCATTAAGAGAAAAACATTGTCCTTTAAAGGCAGTAACTAGGCTTGGAGCAAACCACACAGCTGTATGTGGAAGTTATGTCTTTTCATACTAACAAATGCAAAAAACCTGCTTTGTCAGTAATAATTTGTGTTTTACTAGACTCTATTACCAATAACTTAGAAAACAAGAATCCTCCTGTGCTTCTCTCATTGTTTTAGTCATCCTTGTAACTGCAATCTAAGTGGATACATATAAAAATGTTTGTGTTACACATCTGTAAATCGTATATCGTATATCTCTATAACCATATTATATATCCCGTAACACAGTGGAAGGAGAAAAACATTTTACCACATCCAATGTGTACTGCCTTAAATAAGTTCTGATGGCTTAATTTAACATTTCCACAGAAAAAGTGTCACATTTTTATGAGAAAAATGAAACAAAAGATTGATTATCTTACTCTTGCACAAACTCCAAACAGGGAAATCTGTGATAGAATTAGTAATCAGTATAGATTAGATACTTTCTATGTGTAAATCTAAGGTTTAGGAGAAAATTTCAACAGATCTGAAAAGCACTAATCTTCATTACATTATGAACTATATGGGGTGCTTTTTCTTCCTATCAAGGAAATGAGATATAATAGAAGCCCACTGAAAGAACTGTTAGTCAGCACAGCTGTGCATTTGGTTCTCAACTTGTTTCAGCATGTTTCTAGAAAGATATTCCTTCTTACTCTCATCACTCTATCTCCCCTTGCACTCAGTGGCCTTTCTGGAGGCACTGAGAGGTCTTCCTAGGGAAATATCCAATGTTTCCTATCAGTCCTATCAAACATCAAGGTCCTACCAATTCACTTCTACATTTAGAGGAATCCCACATACACAGCAGATACTAGAAAACAAAATTGGAATAATGAAGTATTTCACTAGCATTCATTATTATTAAAAACAAATACAGGGCAAAAGCAAACAGGAGATTTACTTTAAAAGGAACAATTTGAATATATTTTAATTCATTTCATATTCTATTAATTTCTTTAATATCAATTTTGGCCGTAACTTATACTATTTATTTAAAAAAGGATATTTTTATGTTTTTCTTCTAGAAGTGGATGAATGACTGTTGCATGAAGTTAATGAATATGAAAGCAATTTGGTAGGAGTGCTGAGAGAAATCTATGGAGATTGCTCAATGTGAGAGAGAAAACCTGAGGAATTCCTCTTGCAACAGATGGTAAAAGAGGAGGCTGTAGGAGGTGAAGGTGTTCAGAGAAAGGATGTGTTTCAATTACTTTTTTTCCACTTGGGCCCAATCCGACTTTGCACAGAAGGAAACCAGTACTATCACTCTCACATGTCCAAGCTCATGAATCAGCATGACTCTTCACTGCCCTTCCCAAATAATAAGGTGTGATGTGATAGCTAATTTGTGACTCTTTCCTGCTGCCACAATTTTTATAAATTTAGGTATGCTTACAGTTTTTCCACAGAACACAATATATGGAAACAACTTACACATTTTTCTCTGCTTTCCAGTGACTGAAGCTTTAAATGGTTACGTCTTTCTCATGCCTTCTTCTGCTTCTTTTTGATGTTGTGTTTTTTTTTGTTACACTATTGTCTTACACTGTGTACTCTGCCCTTGCTCATCTAATTACCGAAGCTTCGATTTCATAACAGTTATCTGGTGGAGGAACCAGATACTGCGTAAAGGCCAATTAAAAGTAAGGTTATCTGTCATGAACACAGTCTAAACAATGCTCGCTGCAGGACCAAAGTGCCAAAGATCAGAACATTATGTAGTTTTTATGACAGACATTTAGCTCACCTCTATACAGTAACACAAATAGAAACACGTGCTGTGTGGGTCACAGAGTCCTTAGCAAGTGAAGTCTCTGCCTTGTCTCAAAATGCAAGTAGTCTTTATTTCCAAGCTAATTCATTTTTCAAAAGCTCGTGTCCTATTTTCTTTCAACCATGACAAAATATTTTTTGGTAAAGTTCTTTACTGTTATTAGTCAGTCATAATTCATTACTATTGCATTCACAACTTACAAAAATTGTTTTTATACTTTACACATCTAAAAGGAAGGAATAGCAAAGAAAATGAATTCTAAGTGATGTACCTAAATTCAAGTGTCATCAGTTGAAGACTCAAAGTACTTTTCAATACCAAACACTTTATTTTCTTAGAAAATGAAAATGTGAGGTTTAGGATAACTTTAATATCACTTTTTCATTCTTTTTATATCTCTTCACTTATATTAAATGAAATGGTAACATTCACACTAAATCAGACTCCAGTAATTCCTCAGAGAAAAGCAATGGTGCTTGAATAGTGTTGCTATTAGAAATTGTTTTCATAGCATAAGGCTAATAAATATGCATCTTACGTCTAAGAAAAAAAAAAAAAAAACATTAAAAAGCTACTTTTTCCATAAAAGTATGCTGTCAAATTTATCTGCCTCAAGAAAAAAATGTAACATGAATAATAATATTTTAATAATAAAATATTTTAAAGCGTCATAACGGGAAATTGTTGAAAGTTGAGATGGAAGGATGCAGAAAGCATTCCTGCAAAGGGAATGGTTAAAACAGTTGTGAATTAGAAATTACCCCGATCCTGTTTTATTGGTATACCTTGTGGCAGAGACTGGACAGGAAGAGCAGACTGGCCAGGTGGGATGGAAATGAGTCCCTGACGCTGAAGGTTCAGCAGATGTTGCTGCTGCTGAAGTTGTTGCATCTGGAGGAGCTGCTGCTGGAAGACAAGCTGCTGGGCTGCCAACTGCTGTTGTTGCTGCTGATAAAGAAAGAAAAATAGGCATCAAAGAATAAAGTGGGCATTGGAGGCTAGAAAGCCGAAAATGTAAAATCAACTTATTTCCCTTTAAGCTCAGTTATAAAATAATAACGCTGTTTGCAGAATACTTGGACAGTGCAATCATTTGAAATTTTCTGTTATATACATTCAAACTATTAGGTGTTAGGGAATGTGTCAAGATATGCTCAATGACACACTAAAGAAAAGGGTCAAGAGAAAGTACACAATAGCCGTTTGAAAAAACAAAACCGCCCAGCTCATGGCAGATGATAACAAATTCATCTATGCTAAAAGTGTAACTCTTTAGGGCCTCCTGTGATTTGAGGGCACTCTTGTTTTTCCAATTGACTAACTTTGGTCCGCAGTGGCCCATGAACGCGGCCTCCAGTGATCTATTAGTAAACTGGGATGTAGCCTTCATTTCACTGGTCTGTTAGCACTCTCTCACTTCTAGTTGGAATACATTAAAACGAGCATTGCATTCAAGGCAAAGAAGTGCCCTATTATGAGTAGAAGTATAAGTTCCAATTTTGTGAGGCATTTCAAGACAAACTGGAGTATGCAAAGACTCAGGAGGGTATAAGCAGGCAGTCACACTTCAGAGAAAGACAAGCTGCTGTGGAAGACCTTTCCTTTCTAGTTTGGGGAAAAGAGAAACTTCTGATGCGCTCACTGGAAAACAGACTGCATAATGGAGCAAGTCATGTGGATTGCCCAGAGCCTCCGGAGAAATACAGGAGCAATTTCTATTCCGTAGTTGATGGCTGTCTGAAATTCTATTCACAAATCCAAACAGAAACAAAGCCTCAGGAGGTCACGACTGCTTCCTCAACGTTTGCATAATGGGCAGCTTGAAGACAACGTCTAGGATACCTGCTGATCAATTTAACTACTTCAACATGTTTTGTTTGTATTATGTTTATATTTGATGCAGTCTGCTGACAAGTGCAAGCTAGGCCTGAGAAACCAGCTTGTCAGGTTGATTTATGAGCACATCAAACTGTAACTTTCTACTCGCCACTCCAAACCTACAGTAGCAGTTCATTAATCAGGGGCCTGTGACTTTGAAATCTGTGCTCAATCGCTTTTTTTTCAGCCACAGACTAAATTTGCATGCTCTCTGAGCTGTGCCATGGAGAGAAGTGTGGCTCCCTCCTCAAAACGGGCTGCCTGCAGGATAATCAGCACGATGTCCCCCCGCCGCTTGTGCTCTGCACACTCAGGTTCGTTAGTGGACATTAGACAACAGCAGCACTGGACTGCTCAAATCCTACATCTCAGACAGGGGAGCAGGAGAAATACATCGACATTGCTATTAAGCCCCATAAAAACACAAGAACGGATCATTGATGGCTGGATTCTTGCTACAGGAAAAGACCTGAAGTAGCCTCATCTTTTCCAAGCTTCTGTCAGCCTATACCAGTATGTATCAGCAAGGCTCTTGGCTCCTACCTCTTTTGCTTGCTTTCCTGGGTGCTGCTGCTGCTGCTGCTGCTGCTGTTGCTGCTGCTGCTGTTGCTGTTGCTGCTGCTGCTGTTGTTGCTGCTGCTGCTGTTGTTGTTGCTGTTGCTGCTGCTGTTGCTGCTGCTGCAAAAGCTGAAGATGTAACTGCTCTTGCTGTTTCTTGTAAAACTCTTGTAGTTGTTGCTGAATAAACCATTTTGACTTTAATAAATAAAGGCAAAAGTTTCAAGTATTATAAATCTCCTAAACTCTTCTAGATTGGCATATGGTGGCGTAGCCATTAAGAATCACCTCATAACAAAAGTGTGATTTGAAGAGGCAGATCTACATACATTTTTTTCCAAGGCGGTTCTGAAATTTTCCAATGCAGATTCCAAAACATCCTAAACAGAAGGGTATAGAAAATCTGTATTCTAAAGGGAATGCAAGAGCCAAATTAACTCCTGAAGTAACTATACCTAAGTTCCTCATATGTCCTATATAACAAATTAGAAGTTGTACTCATCTATTCGTAAGAAACCAACATCTCACTAAGGCCAAACTAAACTGGCTGCTTCTTAGGGGAAAAAAAGGAAAAAGAAAAAAGCAATTAATCTGTCAATCCATTTAGTGGAATGCCAGATTCAAAACTGAAAGTGAACTGCCTGTAATGATCACGGTATCAGAAAGTAAAGTGTTTTAAACACACAATGACTGAAGTATGACTATCAGACAGATCATTTTCTGGATGACAACAAAGCGTCCAAAAATTTATTCTTACACCAGGGTATTGAGCACTGACACTACCTGTTTATTGTAAGAATAGCAACTTCATGCATTCTTCACTTAGCCACCAGACTTTGTGCTAAGGAAACAGCAACTTCTTCCTTCATCTTTATCTGGGACAAATTTTTGGAAGTATAAAGCAAATTTAAAAGAGAACAAACAACAACTTTTTCCTATGATGAAAGAAGCTGTTACATTCAAATTTCATAACCGCATACCATTTGTATGACTAAAGGGAGCACTACAGTGTTATGAATTTTAAAGCAACAATTATCTACAATTCTATTCGCACTTTCTTTGGCAAGTCTACAATTAAAATGTGCCTAGGCACTTGAAAATTTAAATATCAATTTGTTCGGTATTTGTAATGCATCCGCCACTGCTGCTGCTGTTTTCAATACAACGTTAGAAGTTTCAAAATTGCAATTTCACACTTGTGCAATTAAAGCAAGAAATTTAAAGACTGAAAAGTTTCACACTCATTTTCATCCTTTTTGGTGTAATGAGCGATGGAATATTGCCAACTAAGATCTATCAAATCTGGCTAACAGTTGTGAGAACACCCTGCGCTAGCGGTCCAAAGCAGGTAACCCACATTACCTGCTGCAGCATAACGGCTTGCTGCTGCTGGAGAAGTGCTTGGAGCTGCTGGGGAGACAACACTTGCTGCTGGAGAATCTGCTGCATTTGCTGAGGGGTGATCACCTGGGGAGTCATCATGGCCACTGACACAGGCACCTGCACAGAGAAAGAAAGATATCATCATCAAACACGTCTTCGTTCGTCTGCACCACAGCTGTACGTCTTTTTTATTTTGTACCAAAGACGGACCATAATTTTTTACATAATATTTATCACTGTGAAGTTCCAGTTTCAGTCAGAATCTGTTATTTTAAGACCACAGTACTGTGGCACTCTATTTCCAGAGGCATCAAATTCGATCAGACTCAAGCTTTATGTTTCGCATCTCTTATGTATTCCTGCAAGAAATTTCAGCATTGGCTAGTACAAATGTGCATTTAAAAATAAATGATTGCATGGCAGGACTCTCAGCACTTCATAATCAATCATCTTATCAAGTGTCATAATGTTACAAATGGAAAAATCTATTGAGACATTTTCAAAAGATGTGATTAAAACAGATGAAAAAATAAGTATCTTAAAGCAGTAAATGTTTTACAGAATAAAGATGCCTAGCTTAGGAAAGCGTTTGTGTAGTACATCATTTTAGCATCAGAAAACTTGCTTAGATGGTCCTTTTAGTCTTATTTATACAGGAAAAAAAATACTGAGGACTTTGTGAATGCAGAACAAGGGAGTGTACCTCAGCTACCGATCTCTGCAGAGGGAGATGTTTTTCAGTCACTCAGATGAAAACTGAAAGGTTTGCAGACTTCTCGTTAGATTATTGGCTTGTCCACTAACCTCTACAAATGCATTTTTGCATAGATCCTGATTGGGACACAGCTTTATTTTCATCTAATTGCGCACACATGCATGAGCCCCCACCCACACAGGCTCTTAGGTGTAAGCAGCAAAAGCACAGCAAACGTGTGTGTGTGGATGAGAGGGAAGTCCTCTAACAGAGCCTGAGGGATGTGCCGAGCCACTGCAGCAGGTGCACTGTATGAAACCACTGATCAACCAGACCCACACGCAGGCAGACAGCCACCAGCAGGACAAGTTTTTCACTCTTGAAAAAGCAACCACTGCCTCGTCTAGCAGCATTCAACACTGCCTTTTGTTCTCTGCATAATCGAAAGCTGGCATAGAAATACTGTTTTGCAATAACTTTGTAGGACATTGCAGACTTCTGTAAATCAGAAAAATACATATATTTTTAATAAAATAAATCACAAGCAACTCTTAAGAAGAAATACTTTTCTAATACTTTTATTACTTGAATCTGTCCCAAAAGGCTTTACATAAAAGCCTTTACGCTTAGAGAAAAACATGTCTTCTACAATTTAAATTTAAAAGAAATTACTTCATCCAATACTGTACAGATTACCACCTCTCACACGATTCATCACAACATAAATTTATCTCTTAAAACACTCACTAATGAAAAGTCTGAAAGTAAAAATTCCACTACTCAGAAGTCAGATAACCATTTGCAAACAATGAACGAATTTTAAGAGCAAAAGTTCTGAAGTCCTTACTCTGAAACAGGGGAAGAGACAAACCAGACTTCCATCACAACTGAACTCTTTGGGGAGGATTCATCTCTCACTTTCAGCCATCAGGTGGGACATTTTCTCTCTGCTATCACTGAACTCTTTCTATAGTCAACAGAAAAAAGGAAATCCCAAGGAAGGTATATCTGATCCAGTTTGGACTATTTTAGCATGGGATGTACCACTCTCTGAATGTTTCTGTCCCTCCCCATTGAGTCCAGACCTACACTGAGTAGGCATCTAACTTCTTGATGATTAATCTTGGTGACCCCCACTGATTTTGTAGTGTTGAAAACACCACATCTCCATTCAGTGATATTTTATTTTAAGACTACAAAGTTTTAAGGGCCCAAAAAACAACTTGTTACAACTTTGGGATGCACAAGCAGGCAGTAAAACTCACTGACTGCAGCCTGTGTGTGAAGGCAGTAAGGTTCTCCTGTTTACAAGAGATCTCAGCTTGCCTTCTTGCAACACTTTCACCTCAGTTATGCTACTGAACTCTCATGTGTGACACGAATGAGGATACAGTGAAGAAGGCAAACACCTTCCCAGTTCAACCATTGGCTTTCATCTTTAAATCTTGAAAGAATTTTCCTGGCCCATGCATGCCTGCCATTCTGCCATACAGCAAATGGTAAGAGTTGCACCACTTCCCCTCTTCCTTTGGCATCTGCTCCTTATCTTATCTTCTTCCCCGGCAGATGTATGTTCAAACACACAAGTAAAAATTCTGATCTACACAGAGTGCAAATTGACATCTCTGGAGGTGGCCCTGACTTGCTTAGGTTCAGAGCTACAGACTGAAGCCAGTATGATGCAGGCCATGCTCTGTTCCTCAGTCGGAAATGCAGCTTTTCTTCCACCAGCCCCATTTGTGCTGGGCTTTGGTACCATCTGTTCTGAACCTCCCTGCCTGTGTACTTGCTCTCATACCTGGAGACACACCTGCTCTGCGTGCTCGAAGAGCTTGTCTTTTCCTGCTTTTTCCTCTATATTTTAACAGTCACTCTCAACAGTACAAGCTGGAGGAGAGAACCTAATTCACTTGTTTTTTGGGATGATGGGAAAAAGCATGAGAATAGGCAGTCATGACCATTAGTAAAAGACATACTTACATAGATGATACTGGCCTTAACAGAACTGTATGTGAGGATCAATGTAAGTATATCATACTTGATAGGTCTTATTCCCTATGGATAAAAGGCACATTCTGAAAACAGCTTGAATTTCAAATCAGCAAAACTTATTAAGCAAAAAGATTTCTCTAATTTTAACTAGGCATTATAAATTGGCACACTTCACAGCCTTCAGGGATACACCTGACTGCACTTTATTTCCTACTGGAACTGTTACAGTGGAACATGGGCCAGAAGAACATCAGAAGGGTGCAATGCTCTGGGAAGTTATGTACATTAGGAATTTTTCTCTGCTTTGGTGTCCGTATTTTTCAAGACTTCTGCTCTGATCTCTCAAAAGTGTAGCAAAGAAGCAAATTCCAATTCTTTTTCATGGGAATCTCCCCATTTATCAAAAGCCAGTTCAGACAGAGGGCAACAGAGGGACCCAGAGAAAAGATCAGATCATGTGCAATACTGGGATCTTTCAGAGGGCCGCAAACTGCCAGCGAATTCTCACAGAGATCTCAGGAAAAACTGAAGAGATGAAGTGAAATACTTGGTTTGTGACTGCAGCTCATTTGTCACTAGATGTCCTCAAAGAACTCCATCTCCCAACTCTGTCACGAAGATGATGCATACAGCAACCCTACAAAATGCTGCATCTCAGAAAACCTCATAAGAACAGTCAGATCAGAGGGTCTATGTTTCAAAGAGTTCCCCATGATTCTGATGCATGCTGTCCACCATTTTTTGGATTACATTAAAAGTCCTGCCAAATAAAACTAAGACATGCACAAGCCAATATATTTTTAACACGTCTAGAAAGAATATCAGGCAAAGCCAAATACAGTAATACATATCAATACATAATTTAAGACAGCCTGGGATGTATAGTGAAAAGGTTGATACTGGGAATTAGATGGGTGACGATGGTTGAAGAAATGAAGAGAGAACTTTTCTGAAGACCAGTAAATCTGTTTTTCCCCACATCCATTTAATAAACAAATGGCGGAGGCAGAGCCTGTACATTTAATACCACTCTTCTGTCACACATGGCAAATTCAGCTCTACCTGTACAGAAGCATGTCAGGTAAATGTTCTTCTACTGTTCCTATGGACTGAACAATTACAGCAATGACACAATTGATTTCTTGGTGTTACCTACAAAAATCATTCCAATAATAGAAATGGAAGGCAGCACAGCTAGTTTGCACGTTGAAAACTCACATACATACTTCCAATCTGCCTTTGACTAAAATAAAATGCCGCAAGAGGAGACAAACTACTTTTACTCCAAATTCATTTTATTTTTAAGTAACTTAACAATGGAGAATTATATGCAAAACTCAAGCTCATTTTTGGTGCTTTTGGAGAGAGTAACAGAATCGCATGGAGAAGTTACATTCAGATTCAGTTCTACAGAAAAACAATTAACAAACTTTAACTAATTATTCCAAGATCACATGGTATTTTAAGTGATAGATCTGAGAATGGAACAGTCCTGTAAGACAAGCCTTCCTATAGTTTATTGAACGTGCAATTAAACATTTAATGGACGAACTTCTGTCTGTAGGACTTTTCTTTCAAAAATAAATGTAGGTGTGAAAACGCACATTAACAGTGCTGGATTGGGCTCTCTGACAGGAAACAATTATTTTAAAAGAAGATACTACTTCATCCCTTTCTTTCCTACTTCAGTAATAGGTAGAGTGTCTACCATAATCATAATAACCTTTTGAATCCTTCTGGTTTTATAATATTAAAATGAGCTAGGAATGAACTAAGGGGTATTTGTATGTTTTAATAAACAGTGAATAAAAATACACAATGATCCCCTTGGATGTAAGATACGTAGTGCCCTATTTCATACAGTCTAAACTTCAGTTAGGTAATCTTACATGTTTCTCACGCATCCTGAAAATAAAAATTCTGATTCAAAGAACCTGTAGTCAAAAACACTAAATCATATGCGACAAGAAAAATAACGAAGTAACAAAGATTTCTGGCTCGCTGCATTTAGCATCATGGCTTTGGTTTTCCATGTTTACAGTGGAATTTAATTCATTATTATTAATCCAGCTACATTTTAATTATTTTAATATAGCAGAGTGTACTTTGTTGTGTAATTATAGTTTACAGAACTTTATCTTTAGAGCTATTTTTTTTATTGGATACTTCTCCAATTACATGTAAACATTTTAGGAAAGATTAAAGTAATTTCTATTTACAGTTAGTGGAAAACAAGCTGTCCATACTGCTGCTGTAGTAGAGATTATAGGTGATATATAATACACTACACCATATGTTTAAAGGCCAATAATGCAACTTCTAATCTCACTCTGGCTAATCAAGCTGCTCAGATTATTTTACATACATCTCTGGTTTAGGCCTTGACATGCCCTTGTTTTTCTTTCTTCTCAAAGCTAAAGTTCCCCTCTTT